GTGCTAGGTAAGCTATATCTCACAGGTTATATAGGTTGGATAATGTTTATCAGACTATTATGTCTGCTAGGTAAGCTATATCTCACTGGTTATATTGGTTGGATAATGTTTATCAGACTATTATGTCTGCTAGATAAGCTATATCTCACAGGTTATATTGGTTGGATAATGTTTATCAGACTATTATGTCTGCTAGGTTAGCTATTTCTCACAGGTTATATTGATTGGATAATGTTTATCAGTCTATTATGTCTGCTAGGTAAGCTATATCTCCCTGGTTATATGGGTTGGATAATGTTTATCAGACTATTATGTCTGCTAGGTAAGCTATATCTCACAGGTTATATGGGTTGGATAATGTTTATCAGTCTATTATGTCTGCTAGATAAGCTATATCTCACAGGTTATATTGGTTGGATAATGTTTATCAGTCTATTATGTCTGCTAGGTAAGCTATATCTCCCTGGTTATATTGGTTGGATAATCTTTATCAGTCTATTATGTCTGCTAGGTTAGCTATTTCTCACAGGTTATATTGGTTGGATAATGTTTATCAAACTATTATGTCTGCTAGGTAAGCTATGTCTCACAGGTTATATGGGTTGGATAATGTTTATCAGTCTATTATGTCTGCTAGGTAAGCTATATCTCACAGGTTATATTGGTTGGATAATGTTTATCAGTCTATTATGTCTGCTAGGTGAGCTATATCTCACAGGTTATATGGGTTGGATAATGTTTATCAGTCTATTATGTCTGCTAGGTAAGCTATATCTCACAGGTTATATTGGTTGGATAATGTTTATCAGTCTATTATGTCTGCTAGGTAAGCTATATCTCCCTGGTTATATTGGTTGGATAATGTTTATCAGACTATTATGTCTGCTAGGTAAGCTATATCTCACAGGTTATATGGGTTGGATAATGTTTATCAGTCTATTATGTCTGCTAGGTAAGCTATATCTCACAGGTTATATGGGTTGGATAATGTTTATCAGTCTATTATGTCTGCTAGGTAAGCTATATCTCACAGGTTATATGGGTTGGATAATGTTTATCAGACTATTATGTCTGCTAGGTAAGCTATATCTCACAGGTTATATTGGTTGGATAATGTTTATCAGACTATTATGTCTACTATGTAAGCTATATCTCACAGGTTATATGGGTTGGATAATGTTTATCAGTCTATTATGTCTGCTAGGTAAGCTATATCTCACAGGTTATATTGGTTGGATAATGTTTATCAGTCTATTATGTCTGCTAGGTGAGCTATATCTCACAGGTTATATGGGTTGGATAATGTTTATCAGTCTATTATGTCTGCTAGGTAAGCTATATCTCACAGGTTATATTGGTTGGATAATGTTTATCAGTCTATTATGTCTGCTAGGTAAGCTATATCTCACAGGTTATATGGGTTGGATAATGTTTATCAGTCTATTATGTCTGCTAGGTAAGCTATATCTTACAGGTTATATGGGTTGGATAATGTTTATCGGACTATTATGTCTGCTAGGTAAGCTATATCTCCCTGGTTATATTGGTTGGATAATGTTTATCAGTCTATTATGTCTGCTAGGTAAGCTATATTTCACAGGTTATATTGGTTGGATAATGTTTATCAGTCTATTATGTCTGCTAGGTAAGCTATATCTCACTGGTTATATGGGTTGGATAATGTTTATCAGTCTATTATGTCTGCTAGGTAAGCTATATCTCACTGGTTATATTGGTTGGATAATGTTTATCAGTCTATTATGTCTGCTAGGTAAGCTATATCTCAGGTTATATGGGTTGGATAATGTTTATCAGACTATTATGTCTGCTAGGTTAGCTATTTCTCACAGGTTATATGGGTTGGATAATGTTTATCAGACTATTATGTCTGCTAGATAAGCTATATCTCACAGGTTATATTGGTTGGATAATGTTTATCAGTCTATTATGTCTGCTAGGTAAGCTATATCTCAGGTTATATTGGTTGGATAATGTTTATTAAACTATTATGTCTGCTAGGTAAGCTATGTCTCACAGGTTATATTGGTTAGATAATGTTTATCAAACTATTATGTCTGCTAGGTAAGCTATGTCTCACAGGTTATATGGATTGGATAATGTTTATCAGTCTATTATGTCTGCTAGGTAAGCTATATCTCACAGGTTATATTGGTTGGATAATGTTTATCAGTCTATTATGTCTGCTAGTTAGCTATTTCTCACAGGTTATATGGGTTGGATAATGTTTATCAGTCTATTATGTCTGCTAGGTAAGCTATATCTCCCTGGTTATATTGGTTGGATAATGTTTATCAGACTATTATGTCTGCTAGGTAAGCAGTATCTCACAGGTTATATGGGTTGGATAATGTTTATCAGTCTATTATGTCTGCTAGGTAAGCTATATCTCACAGGTTATATGGGTTGGATAATGTTTATCGGACTAGTATGTCTGCTAGGTAAGCTATATCTCACAGGTTATATGGGTTGGATAATGTTTATCCGTCTATTATGTCTGCTAGGTAAGCTATGTCTTACAGGTTATATGGGTTGGATAATGTTTATCGGACTATTATGTCTGCTAGGTAAGCTATATCTCCCTGGTTATATTGGTTGGATAATGTTTATCAGTCTATTATGTCTGCTAGGTAAGCTATATCTCACAGGTTATATGGGTTGGATAATGTTTATCAGACTATTATGTCTGCTAGGTAAGCTATATCTCATAGGTTATATTGGTTGGATAATGTTTATCAGACTATTATGTCTGCTAGGTAAGCTATATCTCAGGTTATATGGGTTGGATAATGTTTATCAGTCTATTATGTATGCTAGGTAAGCTATATCTCACTGTTTATATGGGTTGGATAATGTTTATCAGACTATTATGTCTGCTAGGTTAGCTATATCTCACAGGTTATATTGGTTGGATAATGTTTATCAGACTATTATGTCTGCTAGGTAAGCTATATCTCAGGTTTTATGGGTTGGATAATGTTTATCAGACTATTATGTCTGCTAGGTTAGCTATTTCTCACAGGTTATATTTGTTGGATAATGTTTATCAGACTATTATGTCTGCTAGGTAAGCTATATCTCAGGTTATATTGGTTGGATAATGTTTATCGGTCTATTATGTCTGCTAGGTAAACTATATCTCAGGTTATATGGGTTGGATAATGTTTATCAGTCTATTATGTATGCTAGGTAAGCTATATCTTACAGGTTATATGGGTTGGATAATGTTTATCAGACTATTATGTCTGCTAGGTAAGCTATATCGCAGGTTATATGGGTTGGATAATGTTTATCAGTCTATTATGTATGCTAGGTAAGCTATATCTCCCTGGTTATATGGGTTGGATAATGTTTATCAGACTATTATGTCTGCTATGTAAGCTATATCTCACAGGTTATATTGGTTGGATAATGTTTATCAGTCTATTATGTCTGCTAGGTAAGCTATATCTCACAGGTTATATTGGTTGGATAATGTTTATCAGTCTATTATGTCTGCTATGTAAGCTATATCTCCCTGGTTATATGGGTTGGATAATGTTTATCAGTCTATTATGTATGCAGGTTATATTGGTTGGATAATGTGTTTAATGAAATACTGAAACTGACATCTTTCTTGAAAACAAAATAAATTGAATCTATATTAATTTTTTTTCAGCCCAGCATCTGTTCTAAGCATTGTTTAACCAGTTGTATTTAATTTCAGATCATCACAAGGAGCAGATGAAGTATCTTATCTACGACATTGTATAGATGATCTCTCAGAACAAATGGGCAACAACAACTTCAGAATGACTCAAATGATGAAAATGATGGAAGATTTAATGAAGAAACAGAATGTGAAACAATCTCTAGATTTAAAACTAGAAGACTATACGCATGCTTAATTTATTCAAATTATAATATAATTTATGAAATTTATAAGTTTATAAGACTATAACTTAATTTATAAAATTGATGATGTTAAATTTACAAATGATATACTTGAAGCTCAGTTATCTGAAAATTAATTATATAAAAGATATTATGGAAGTATTTTATTAATGGTAATTGTTTTATATATTAATTTATATACACATTTTTATAGAAAAACACAAGTTAAGTTAAGATAAAAAAAAAAGAGCCATTTATGTCCATTTTATGAAAAATATATCGTATCAGGAAAATATGTCCATTTTGTACAAAATTAGAACAAATATTATAGAAATATTGATGCCAATTTTGATCCACCTATCAAAATAAGTTAATTATGTGAAAACTGTCAGAAAATTAAGAGATAACTATTTTATCAGTATACAGAAACTGTGATATAAACTGTGAGTAATATATATTATAGAACTTAAAGTTACATCAATGTATTTAGTTGCAATAGAAGAACACTTAGTTACTAAACCATCATCAGAAATGAATGTCCATAAAACAAAAAGACAAAATTAGATTGAGTGTACAAAAATCTTTTTCAGTTTTCACTTGACAATTGCCAAATATTATTGTTTTTTACAATAATTACATGGTAATTCTTCAAGAAAAAATAGATTTGTCAGATAAATGAATTATAATGTTATGACAATCTACAAATCAATTGAATATAAGTTTTAATTTGGAACATATTTTCATGTTATTTATATTGTTTTTTATTATTTACATCAGATAATCAGATTTTTATGTATTTTGCTTGAGTATGTTTCAAATGCCATTATTTAATCCAACTCCGTCCCAATGATGAACTAAGATAATGCATTTTGATCAAAATATATAATCGGTTTAAATTGTTATGTTATTATTTACATTTTTATTTCACATTTGCTCTTTTAAGATAATCAGATTTTTATCATATATCGCATAAACATATTACTATTTACATTTATAAAATAATGTTACATTGACATTTTCTAATGTATTGCCACCGTCCAAATTTATCAAGTTTTATGATAAAATATTTCTATCAAAATATATAAAGATCTTAAATTGTAATGTTGTTTGTAACATGTGAACAAGTTATTATTTATATTTTGTATTTATTCATTTCAGATAATAAGATTTTAAACATGTAATGCTTAAATATTTACAAAATAATGTTACAAAATAATTGACATTGCGTAAAACTATTATGATGAAATATTATATCAAAATATATAATCAGCTTACATGAAATATATTTACAACTTATTTTTATATTTCTTATTTCAGATAATCAGATTTTGTTTATTTATATTCAGATACATGTAATCCAATCAAAGTTTATTTCTTTGGTTATGTTATGCTTTCTGTTACGTAAAGAGAAATACTAAAATTTACATTATGTAAGTCTGTCCAAATTATCATGATAATGAATTTTGATTATCATCGTAATTTTCTATAATAGCATAGTTATTGTTGTACACGTTTTTTTTGTAAATTAATTGGTTTTTTTTTTAACTTTAATCAAAAGAATATCACAAAAATGTATATTAATGTCCAAAATAATCAGACAGCATATTTTTGAAATTTCTTATAGATTTTAGATATGATATCAAGAAAATTCTGGCTTAACATTTAAAGATTTATGGCAGCGTTCATATTTGTGTATTCATATTGGACAAAAAATATTTTCTATTTTTGGATCCCAAACACAAAAATAATATGTTCTAATTTTTTGGTTTTTATAAAAATGATACTATACGGAATATTATTGTCATATCTTTATGTTGAAAAATTTGACAAGATCAAAAACAGAAGTACAATTACTTTGTAGATATAAAATATGAGATTTAATCAAAATATGAGAATCATTTATAAATATAGACATACCTTTAATGAAACCAGATTTCTTTTTTACTGTTGGGGCCTCAATGATCATCTATTGATCCGATGTTATTTATTATGTACTAGTTCAAGGTTACTAAACCATTTTAAATTTAATCAGTAACCCTCAATTTGTTTTTTAAATTCTATATTCCATCCATGAAAATCAAGATTGTGTATTTTGTATATTCTCAAAATTACTATCTCCCTACACAAGTTATTTGTGATGTTGACTCATATCTGCATAATCAGACAATTTTTATTAATCAGCCTTTTCAAGACTTTATAAATAACTTTTTGATATGCCTTGTTATCCTAACTCACAAATTATTTTTTGTTATCATTAGGCGGGAATTTATTAAGAAATTGATTTGATAGAGCTACAATAATTCTAATTTTTAATTTCATATTCTGGTAGGAATGCACAAGGTATTTTTTTCAAATATATTCTGAATCTTTTTTTGGCCTGACTGATAATGAATATGATATTGTTTAAAAGTTGTTTTAATTTTTGTCAGTGCGTATTTATTCATCTACTGTGATATATAAACTATTTTATGAAAAAATATTTAATAAATTTCACAAAACGATTTATTTGATTATACTGAAAATATTGTTTTACATGACTTAAGATTTTGACATATCCGGGTGGTGCTGGAAAAAAATGTTAGTGCTTATGCCATAGTCAAATATTCCTTTGTTTCAACCTCTTGAGTTTAAGTGAGAGAAAAAAACCAAGACGCAAATATCTTATTCGTGAACATCAATTAATTTATTGGATAAAAACAAATTCCATTATTGATACCAATGAACAATAGAGGAAACAGTCATATAGGATAAAATAATGTTGCAGTTTTCAAATTGAAATATATAGAGACTGAAATGTATGGAAACAAATAAACGTTTTAGGGGATAAACTCGCCTAATCGGTGCTATTACTATTGTTCTCATCTGACATAATTACAGATTATCGTTAGGTTTAATAACAGCAAGCAAGTTTAAAAACACGTACAATTATAATGTGACAACATACATGAATACTATTGAAATATTCATTAACCGTTAAAACACTTTACAATAGCACAAATATTTCAATTTTTTTAGACAACTCATGATGCTCTTCCGACAAAAATGATGTACAATACAAATATCGAAGATAATAATAAATCAAAAAATGATATAGGTCAAACAACAACGATTACCATATTGTCTAAAAGCACAAAATATTTGGTTACATTTAAGAAATATAAAATATCAAGACACACAATGATAAAAGACACGATTATAAACATATAACATCGTCATGGAAGAAAAACAAATGAAATATTGTAAACAATAAGCAACTAGAAACATACGCGAAGTGGAGAATTCATTAAAACTGCAGCTATGATTAAACGCTTGCTTTATCCATCGATAGATCTTATTTTAGCTATCTGTACCACTTTTCAGAAAAAATATGACGTCCAGTTCAGCTACAGTACAAAAAGAACGAGTCGTGGATATCAAACTCGTCACCAGTTCCATTTAGTCATTCTCAGAAGCATTAATTACTGATATCAATCAAGTAAAAACTATAAAAACAAAAGCAATTTTTATAAATCTCATTGCATGAATGAAAACAATTACAGCTCACAAGAAGATATTTTTGTAAAAGCCTTGCAACGGTTTTTGTTTTTTTTCTAACTAACTACTATATCTTGTCATGAAAAAGGGTAATTAATGACAAGAGAAAATGCTTTTAAAAAATAAAATATTAAAAACAGAAATTAGAACGTTCAACAGCATATCACATGAACACGCAACTTGAAGGTCAAAAACGTGTTAAACTTATGCAATGTTTTCATGTATCTTAAAAAAATATCAGATACAATTTGTCTTAGATTCTTGAGACCCTAAGTGACTTAACTTGATTTGTTTGGTTTTTGGGGGGTTTTTTTGGCAAAAACGAACTAATACACGATGGAAGACAACGAATTCTTTATTCAATAACACCTCATAGGATTCCGCGTCACCTGTCAAATCAAGTATCAGACATTATAACGCTTGTATCCATCCTGCCCCTTAAATAATCATACGTGTCGTTTTTTATCTTATAAAAATCAGATTACCTTACAGTAAAAGTAGATTATAAGAACAAAGATACACGACACGAATTTACAATTAAAGCACATTACGAGATTGTACTACAAGGTGTATTTCTCACACATACAGTACATTTCAAAGCGAGAATAGGAATGTTATTTGTTTTTCTCAGAATGATTTAGAAATCATAAACGTGTTATTAGATTTACAAATAGTAATTAGTGGTGTGTTCCGTGTTTGTCTGGAACGTCTTCCCATATCTCTACACATTGATGTATACTCAATCTCAACATGGGGTCCACTTTACTTAACTTCTTTATCACATTGGAAATACCCTGAATAAATTCCACACTTCTTAATAATTTAGTAGGAAGTTGAAATCCTATTTTTACTTGGCACTGAGCGATTTGCTCAGCTGTTCCCTCGAAGGGTGGTTTTCCACACAGCATAAAGTAGAGAAGACAACCTAAAGACCATACATCAGAACTCATTGCATTATGAGGGCAGCGATTAAGAATTTCAGGCGCTAAATATGAATTCTGGCCCAGATAGTCTTCACATAATACCAGACAACCACAAGAATCGTGGCACTTGACTGCTAACCCGAAATCCGCTATTTTGACACAGTCGTTGTTAAATATGAGAATATTACTAGGATTGATATCTTTATGAGCTATGAATCGAGAATGACAGTAAGCTACGGCAGATAAAATCTGACTAAATGATTGTGATAAAAATTGGTCATCAATAGGATGATGATGTATTGTGTATTTTTCAAGGTTTCCCTGCGTTGCATACTCCATAACGATGCATGCGAAATTGTCCTGTAAAATCAGGTCGTACATAGCGACTATATGTGGATGTCGCAATTCCAGCAAGCTTCTAATTTCTGCCAAAATATACTCATCATCCGTTACTGCACCATTCGCACGAATTGCTTTTACAGCGTAAAGGACTGTTTCACCAATTTTATGAATGGTATGGACTTCTCCAAAACTACCTTCGTCAATTCTCTCAAGAACTGCATAATTCTTCTCCATCAAAGATTTTCTCCAATTATGGTCCAAAGCTCTGCGGTACAAATCCATTTAAAGTATTTTCTCGCTTTTGATCTAAATCATTACTTCAACAATGTTTGAAACTGAATTATGACTGAACACCATTTATATATAAAACACGAATTAGACATAAATGATAATATGAATTCCCCAAAAGGGTGCCTCTTTTTCAACATCAGATCATTCGTGTTAAAAATCAGATCATCATGGTTGCTTAACAATTCAGTTTCAGTTGAAATCGATGATTATTGCCTCCCTGAATCCAAACATGCTCATCACTCTTCAGATAGAATCTGTACCATATTGATCCTGAATCCACAATTATTTACACATAAATAGGATGAAATTGTAAAAGTTAAATCATAAATCCGAACGTCTAACTTTAAACATTTAATGCTTGCTTAAAATCTAAATTTTACTTTTTTGACTTTTTTCTCTGCTTTTAACACTTTATGTTGATACAATACCATCATGGTTGCATTCTCCAAAACACAACAGTGAAAGTTTTAAAACTAAGAATTAATCAAAATTTTAATCGGTATAACAGGAATAACGGCTTCACAGACATTAAAGGTACAATAATTAACGAAACATTTACACACACAAACGTCAAGAAAGTACACCACAGAACTAATGACTAGCGATAACAAACCAGCCGACTTCCTCACAGGGAAAAAACGAAATACGAGATGAATTTTATAAAGAAAACATTGTGTTTATATCCTGATGTTAGGTTCGAAGGAATGACTAGTTTACCAATTTTACTTCTGATCAGCTACGAGTTCCAGATGATGACTGAAGGCTAGTAAATTACATTCCTTTCATTGGTGTTCATATATCACACCGAATGTTCTACACAAAACAGTACATGAAAACAACAATCTTCAAACATGCTTTCATGTTGTTTGAAGCGCGGACCTATGAGAAAGCACTATACTGCCAGAAGCCCTTAACTAATGAATCTTGATTATGAAGTGATACTTCCGGAGCTTTGATAACATTGAAAATAATTAGATTTATCCTGTTCTGTACTATTTTTGTGCATCTAAATTTGTGTTCAAGTATATATACACGAATTACTCTAACTCCAGGGTTCAGTGATTTGTTACTTAAAGTGAAGTACTCCCAATTGCACCTCTACTTTATCAATCATAGTGCTAGTCATAGCACAGCTCAAATTCAAAAATGAACTTAGACTAGGTCAAAGAGTTCAAAACTAATAGATTGAAGACATATTTTGGGGACAGTTCACCAACTGTCTTCAGTCTATTGCTGTGTAATACACATACATATACCACATAAACAATATTAGCATCGTGGACCCTCGGAAACTAATGTTACGTTTCCAGCCTCGTTGCCCAATGGGGCCAACCGTTGTAATTACTGGTCAGGTGACGCACGCATCCTAGGGGAGAAGCAGGGGAGCAGATCGCTTTTTCAATGCGGGGGGAGGGGGGGGCAGTGGCGTACGAAGGATTTATTCAAAGGGGTGTGCGAATTCGAATACAGAGTATAGAGAACGTTTCAGTTGAACTGGTGACACCGTATCTTTATAGCTCTCAGAAATATTATAGAAAGAAAGGCACGTTGCATGTTACTGAATTTTCTAGTCACGACCTAGGAGAAAATTAATTTTGAATTAAAAACTTCAATTTTCACCTAGGTGATCTATAGGGCGACCGATACCTTTCAACCAATCAAATTTAATGTCAAGGCAAGTCCTCTCAGTGGCGGTCCCGCGCCATTTGTACTGATCACATGATCGACGAAAATATGCGCACGATAAAATTCGCTACGTGTGCCCCTTCGTAACGGCGCTTCTGTGAGTGGAGATGGGTCCCAAAACGAATGGCCTTCCTGTCTCTCAACCATAAATTTATTGTTCGAATAGTGCTTTTTGATGTTCCCGGATGCCAAATTGTGCCTATTCTACGTCCATTACAGATATTCTACTCAACCAAGCTTGACTATTTGTGGGGGGACACAGGATATCATGCCCCCCCCCCCCCAAGGTTTTCTGACGGGGAGAGGGGACATGTCCCCCCTCCCCCCCGTGATTTGCGCCCACGGGGAGAAGGTCAACAATTCGGCGGCATATACACACTGGTCCGTCAATTTTTTTCCAAATGAGAGTGCACTTTCTATAACTCGTGAGTAAACTACTATGAACACATTCGTTATCTGTAAGTAACAACGATTTACCAAGCTGTGAATCAACCATCGAGAATAAAGGTTTGTCATCATTTTGACCAATTGTACATTAGCCCCAGAAACTGGAAAGCTAATCAGTAATAGTATTCACAGCTCTCCGTTAAATCAATGTGTGCCCAGAATTACCTGCGTTTGAATGTTAAAAAGGCTTACGTCAATTCTTGAGACTGAGCATTATATAGAAAAAAGACATTATATAGAAATAGAAAGTGAAATGTCCAGTGAGAGGCATTATACGACTGTAGACTATTTACATATATTCAAGGCCCAAATCAACCCCGGAAAATGGCGAATATATCCTTTTAACACAGCGAACATCTTTCCTCCATTGATGACAATGCCTCAGGACTGAATGACCGACGAGATAATGGGAAGTTTGGAAAATAAACGAATCAAATAGACAGAAGATAGGTATCGGTTTATTTACTAAGTTGTCAATAACAGGTAAACAATATGACAGCAAACAATTAGATAGTCATTATTCTATTATTATATAGGTTACTCTATGGTACACATGTACTCATGGCACTCGACAAAAATGCACAGGAGATAAGACTATGCAAACAAACAAACAATCAGACCCGAACATGCTGACATTGTTCTATAGTTGCTGAAGAATCAAATTAGTTGGCACATGTCGTTATTAATCATCAGTTCACCAAATTAGCGATTGGTATGTCCACTTCCTCCGTTTAAGGTATTCCATAAAGCGATGAAATTCTAAAAAAATCCAGACAATATTAGATAGTCACTGCAAGCCTAAAAATTCGCCAAAATCGAGGAGAGTCCAAGTGGATTTATTATGATAGGACACGAGTCACAACACGGGGAAAACACCGTGAATCGAACACACTACGGGATGCTTCAAGATTTCATAAATAAATATTCAACAAGTTGTCAAGGACTTCAGATATACACTGTATCGACGATTTTGTGCGAATCCAACAAGACTCGGGCAGTCAGCGTTTACGAGAGTCTTGGCGCCAATGCGATTCGGAGATTCGTGTCAATTTTTAGGCCTAGTATAGTAAATACCAATAAAAATTGCTTAGAGTTCCAATTAATGTATATTTTACCTCTAAAATAAAAGCAGACCGCCTGTGGGTATTTTTGGTTTGAATCGTCTCCAGATGTGTAATATGTTTCGTCATCATACTACCGACAGCCTATAATGCATGACAGCTCCAAGTGCGATCATTTTATTTTTTCCTTAGTTAAGATAAAATTCTCCCGAACATTACCAGTAGCCTTCCGTAGCATCTAATACCAAAGTGCAACTGCTTTTGTCAACATTACTTCTGAGATAACGATTAAGCTCAGTTGGAATACGTGCAAACTTACACTAGCTTTAACCATAATGATAATATGGAATTTCGCTGGCATTTAATTTAAAGATTCCGTGATTTATAAGATAGATAAATGAAGAAAAATGCCATATATCAGAGCACTCTAGTTTAATTTACCAACTTTTAAAATCTTAACAGGTGATTAGAGACTTAATGAAGGTTCATAATATGTAAAAGATATTGCTAGTAAGTAGTGACAGGTGAATTTATAATTATTTTATCCCGAAAACATATTGTACAGATAAAGCATCTAAACAAAACACAATTAACCAAAAGTATAAATATACAGACATCGACACATATTAAATAAAACCTAACTCTTGAAAGTATCAAAACATATCGTAAAAAGTAAATCAAAATATCAAAAAAGCATATTTAAAGAACTCTGCATGCCAAGTATCATAAGTAGCATGCCTTATACAATCTAACTAAACCAAGCTTGTTTTACAAAAATAAAAATGTTAAAAGCCATATTCTGATCTACCAATTTCCTAAATGTATTACATGTATTAAAATGCCATTCAGTCGATGTGAAACTCTGTTTTTGAACACTGTTAAATATTCATTGGAAATAGGACAAAAATCGTGTATAATGCTATTTATTTTCTGAGAATTAAACATGACCTTGACTTTATACGACCGGATTCTAAAATTAACTTTCTTCATTCATAAATACAGGTTATTATCTTCAAAGAATGCAGAAATTGAGAAATGAGTATAATTAAAGAAGAATTTAGCTGTTTAAGTTGAGGTTTATCACAGAAGTTTATCAGTGAGTCGAGATAATTAACATACAGATATAGATAACATGGACTGAGATATTTCACACAACATTCTGACTTCAGTCTGGTCTTTATCACTGCAGACTACTCGATCTTATAGTAAACTATGGATGATGTACAAAAAACAATTACCATTATATTATTAAGGTCGTGTTGGTACATTGCTTCCTTGTCTAAAGGTTATAGGTTTGACCTGGCAGATGCCATCGTTTTTTAATGCTGGAATGGATCTAAACTAAGAGGCATGGCCTCGACAATCTGAAACACTGAACGCTCCTGATATGAAGAAACCGACTTAAAAAAAGAACAAACATCCACATCACTGAGAAAGCACGACTGTCTATTTCATCTAGTCATATACATGCACATGAAGCGCATTTGCAAGATCTTTGTTGCAGGAGCAAATGCAGCGCAGAAGAGTTTCAATCCCTGATGAATAAAGTCTGATAATTACTACCATGATCGCTCTACTGCAAACAAATCATTTTCACATTGAAGATGAAATATAATATGTACTTTATAACGTTCAGGACATGCTGAGAAATCTGTGAACCATTCCGTACTCATTACTTGTAACTAAAAATACTAACATAATATTTTCTTCAGCCACTAACAATATTATTATTCCAGAAATACCTACTAAATTATCTTCAATTCAGTTTTTTTAATTTCTTCTAATCTCTGGGATCAA